ACAGGGATTTACAGCAGGAATTCTGCCCTCCTCCTTCACCCTGGGCTTCAGCGTCACATTATTGACCCATTATCGAGTCGTTGCTAAGTCCCTTATGTCTCTCATGATCTGGTGTTCTTAACCTTCTCTGGGTAAAGAGCATCTTGAGGATCTCCACCAGGGCCCACATGCTCATTGCTTGGCTGGGGTCTCCAACCTGCTGGCGTGGGAGTCGGGTGGGGTGGGGGGTTCAATGTCTGCCTGCAGGGCCCTGACTGAGTGGGGCCTGCGCAGCAGGGCCAGGACTAAGATGAGGTGAGTAAGGCACCCCAGGGCACAAGCTGAAGGAGGCACTCGTGCTCATGTTGGCACAAGTGCAGTGTCAGCACCTGAGTAAGTGGCTCCTTACTTTTTGAACCCTAGGCCCCTATTCACCCTAGCTTACTCCTGGCTCTAATAGGTGAGCCCCCACGGGAGGGCCTGTGGTATGAAGGCTGCTCTCCATGCCACATGGGGGAGAGACTGAGTGCAGGAGAAAGATCCCAGGATGGAGCCAGAAGAAAACCTGGGGAACCACCAGACAGGTGATTTGGCTGAGGGTGGGCACAGGAGGGCCACCTGAAGTTTCTGTAGCTGCCAGCAGGTGGCAGCACAGGCCAGCATTGGAGGCCGGAAGGCAGATTGGGCAGCCAGGTGGGCAGTGCCTGCTGGGTGCCCTTTTGGGCCCCAGCATCCTCCCGTTTCTGGGGCTTATCTGAGACTCCTTTCCGGAATGGTGTAGGAGAAGAATCGAGCCCCTGGCTCAGAGCCTGATGACCCCACTCTCTGAGTGCTGGATCTCTTCCTCCGTAAGATGGGTGACGGTATGCCCTTGTGAATGACACTGGGAATAAAATGAGATTGTGCCAGGATGGCGCCACTCAAGGGTAACTGTTATTAAGACTGGATTCTGGCCCTTGAGGTAGCCCAATGCCCATTTCCAAGTCCCCTTCTGGCCACTGTCCAGCTGTGCATACCTGTGAGGTGAACGGCATTGCAACTGACAGTGGGGAAGACTGACCTGGCCTTCCCTCAACGAGCTGGTCCACTGTGTCTGGCACATGGCATGAGTTCAATAAATCACATGTCATTATTATTACTATTAGTATTATGGGCATTGTTATTACCCTGAGCTCCTTTATCTCCTGCTGCACCCCAGCAAGGGAGTGCCTACTCCTCTTAACCTAGGCCTCCAGGCCTCCAACAGAAGTGCACTAAGGGCTGGCTGGGTGGGAATGGCCAGGGTGAATACATCCCTCCTCTCCTGTTTGACCAGTGGACAGAGGGACAGGAGGCCCGTCAGCTGTAAGGGCCAAGACATCTGCTGTTGTCCCCTCTCTACACTCTCCCAGCCCAGACCCCGGGGGCAGCTGGGTGTAAAAGACACTGAGGGGACTGGCTGGGCCTCAGCCTGGATGTCACTGGGAGACACAGGAGAGGGGCCAGCAGGTGGGCACATTCATCCACGAAGCCTTCTAGGACGGCAGGAGCTGGACTAGTGGTGTGAGAGATTGGCAGACTGGGTGCTCCTTGGCAGTGATCTGTGGAACTTTGGCAGCCCCAGGTGGGAGATGCTGGCATCCAGCAATTGCACATCAGAACAGAGGGCTGGCAGGCAAAGCTGTGGGCCCTCCCATTCAACCCCCTACACACACACCTGGAGGATACAGGGCTAGGATCCAGGCTGCCATGGAAGCTCAGAAGTGACCCAGTCCTAGCCCTGGCCTTGGAAAGCTGAGCTGAATCTGTGGCCCTTTCCCTGAGATGCCTAGGTGCAGGGAGCTTAGGGACATGCCCAGCCTCCTGCCAGGCTAAAGGGAGGCCAGAGACCAGGAAGGTGGGGTCTTGGAGCAACTTGGGCCACCCTGGTGGGTGCAGGCAGTGTTGCTTTCCTGAGAGACTCCATGTCAAGGCCTGCCCAGGCCACATGAGCTGTGAGACCTGGGCCCAGGTTGTACCAGGTTCAAAGCCCGGCCCTGATGTGCCCTTCACCGGCTGTACATGGAGTCCTGGGCTGCTTTCCCCTTGCTCTCAGTCTCAAGGTCCTCACTTATGAAATGGGAGTGAGACAGCCCACCTTCCCTAGCCACTGAGGGCATCAGAGATAATGCGTGTGAGTCCCGAGCTGAGAGAAGCTCTGGGCCTCCCTCCTTTCCCTGACACCCGACCCACAAAGGAACCCTCAGCTTACCACATTCGTGGATCCAACCAGGCACCCAGGGAGTCACCTTCCAAGTTGAACCCTGAGAGAGAAGGGAGCCCCTCAAAGCTGAAGGGAAATCTGAGAAGCAGGGCCTCCTCCCCTGCCCAGCATGGAAGATCTCTGACACAGACCACATTCCCCGGGACAGTGGCTGGGAAAAGAAAACCCCCTTCCCAGACAGATTTCAGCCCCACCTCCCCTCTGCTCCCCACACAGACCCCCTCCTGAGATGAGGGCTCTAGACCTGGGGTTTTCTCTGCGATGGAGGAGACCACCCCTGCTTCCTGTTCCTCCTCCTGCAGACTTGCTGTCCTTCCTCTAGCTCTCGCAGGTCTGGGTGTGTAGGGGGGGTCTGCCCCCTGGGGAGAACAGACACCTGCCCTGATCTTCCACTTGCAGAACCGAAGCTCCCAGGATGTGGGGTGGGGGACGGGGACCCCTGCCAAGGGACTCTGAGGTGGGGGTGAGAGAGGTGCCAAAGGCAGACCCGGGCCCAGGTGGGATGGCATCCTCGTCTCACCCTGCTCCACCCGACCTGAGGGGTCTCCATACACCTGATGCTCACACACTTCTTGTTCATTTCTCAGCATCTCTGGCCTTTCAAGAGTGTCCTCTGCATGGCCATAGATGCCCCTGCCTGCAGCTACCCTCTATCCCGAGCCCTCAGAAGCCAGGTGGGATGGGGATGCCGGACCAGCAGCTCCTGGGGTTCCCTCAGACATCCTCAGCCAAGGCCCTCCACACTGAGGCCTGCTATGGGTGCAACTGGACAAGACAGGGAGGAGGTGTCTGCCCCAGCCCCCAAACACCCCCAGGCACACCCGGCCCCTGTTCCTGCCTTCCTTTTCATATAGATATAGATATAAAGATATAGACATATGGTGTGTATGTGTGTGTATAACACACACACGTACACACACTCAACCTTTTTTCCTATTTGACATCTGTCTTCTCCCATCTCAAATGGAGATGCAGAGACTAGGTTGGTTCACTGATAGGACTGTGGTGCTGGGCCCACGTTGGGGCTCGGTGATGTTTCTGGAAGGAATCCACAGCAAGGTCAGACTGCTTTACTGGAGTTTCTGGGCTCGCCCCCACAAGGACTTTCCTTTACATTCTGAAGGTGTCCCTGGTGTCTGCCTGCAGCCAGGCAACGGGATTATTCTATTCACTTCGACTCAAAGGTGACACTTCACCATATTAAACTAGAGGATGGCCTCCTCTGAAGGTGCCCATCCACATCCACCCTGACACCACCCACTGCAAACCGCAGCAGCTTCTGCCCTGAAGCCTGGGTCACTATTCATAAGGAGGGGTTTCCCTTATCCCTGTGTGTCTGTGTCAGGTAGGGGGCATTTCCCAAGGGCTCCCTCTAACAGTCATTTCAGGGGCCATAATGGCAGCAGCTCTGTGGCTCTCCCTCTGCCTGGCTGAGGGCAGTGAGGAGAGGCCTGGTCAGCCTGCCAGGTCCACAGTCACAGGAGGACGTGTCAACCAGAACCTTTTACCCCAGTATTTATTGATCCCACACTCTGTGGAAGACCTGGGAACTTGTGGGGAATTTGGGTTTCCTCCAGGACTGGGAAAGAGAGCTAGAAAACAGAAGGTGGGTGGGAGGGAAGAGGAGGTGACTGTGAGGCGACAAGAGATGAAGAAGCGGTCCCCATCACCATAGAAAGCTGCCTGCTGTCCATCACCTAGCCAAGCCCACCCTCAGGGAAAGGAACATGGGGCAGGCAGTGGGAGAGAATGGGGACAGGGGTCCTCCTGGAGCCCCCAGCCCCAGCCCTGGTCCCTGGGTGCCAACCTTACTCTGCAGGCCCTGGTTTTTTAGGGCCCCTCAAACATTGGGTCTTCTGCAGCTTCCACATTCTTGGGCTGAAGGGGTATCCAACAGCATGGGGGCACACAGCCCATGCTCCCTTTCTCCTCTCCCTCCATACCCTCAGAAACCCTTCCGCCAGTCCGTTAAGGGAAGGAGACCCCTCCCCAAGACCAGGATTGTTGCTGACAGGCCCGGCTATCTAACCGTGGGTGTGGTTAGACACACACGTGTGGGTGGCCCATGGGGTGCTTGGGGCTCTCATCCTTACCCAAGGCCCTGTCCCACAGCTCCCACCTCCAGCCCAGCCCTCCACCATGGAACTGGGGGGCTCACTCCCTCCTTGTTTCCATTTATGCTTGCCTGAAGGCTCAGCTTTCTAGGGGAGGGTCTGGATGTCACTTAGAGTCCTGGTTTGTGGAACTTTCAGTTCTAAAATTGGGCAGTTGTGAGAAAACCAGGACAGTTGGTCACCCTAGTGTCATTTTCCTCCAAACCCTTCTGAACCCTGCAGGTGGGTTCCACACACATAACCCTTATGGCTTCCCACCCTACCCATCCCGTGTGTCCTTGTGTTCTGGGAAAGACCACATTATTTAGTTCCCTTTTGTTTCAGACCCAGCTCCTTTGGGTCCTGAGGTGCCATACCTCCCCCTGGCCCTTAGGGATCATGCTCTCTCCCTCCTCTGGTCCCACAAGGTCCTGTCCACTTGGTTTCACCACCCAAGGGGATGGCAGGCATTGTGACCCCATTCCACAGTTAAGATGCAAGGCTCCAGAGCAGCCTTGAACTCAGGACCAGAGGCATTTCATCAGAAAGATCAAGGGAAACCAACTGGGCTGCCACCTCATAGCTGGGATCCAAGTGACTATCCCCTGCCCCCCAGAGCCCCTCACCCATCCTGCTACTCCTGGGGTTTCACACCCCAAGTGTCACAGGCTCACACTCTCTTCGTGTAAACATCTTAATTACATCTTTAATGCTTTCACATGGAGATGCTGTGAGTTAAATTACAGCTTCTGTGCATTCTAAATTACCCACAGCCCTCCACTTGGCTCAAGTGCTAACATATTTATAGCATCTAGAGGAGGGAATAAATCCAGAATCTTCCCCATGTGGGCCTCCTAGGCCCTCACATCCTGACACGTGGTATTTGCCCAACAGAAGATTTGTACATGCCGCCCCCGTGTCCCCTCCAACCAGCGGAGGACCGAGAAGGTGGTGAGGCTGGGCATAGGGGCATGCTTCTGTGCATGCTCATGTGCGCATGCATGCCCAGCATAGAAAAAGTGCCCAGCTTTTGGGGTCTGGCTTGGCCCAATGCCTTTCCCAGATCCCCTAGACTGGTAGAATTCCTGAGGGGCGTGGCGTGGGTAGACAACAGGTGGGTGGGCTGGGTGATCAAAAAACAGACTAGACTTTTTAGCTGTTTCCCAAGGGGTCATCCCCACCCCGTTTCAGGTAGTCAGAACATCCTCTGCTGGCCCACAGCCTGTGACTACTGCCCTCAGACCAATAGCTTCTCCCCCAACCCCAGATCTCCAATATACGCCAGGACAGGGAACCGTTTTCAGAAGCAGGTTCCCTGGCTTTCAGAGCCCAGAGAAGAGATGTGGTGGGCAGCAGAAGCCTTGCCTTTGCGTCCTTCTCCTTTCCGTCCCTGAACATCAAAGGCAGAAAAGGTGGCTACCCTGATGCTCCTCCACATACCATGGGGTGGGGGTCGATTTGGAGGGTAAAGCCAATGCAGAGGGTCTCCATCCTGGCCACTGTGCTGGGACAGGCCCACACGGGCAAGTGGGCACATTCATGCACATGCATGAGGCCTTTCTGCAGGTCTGGGCACTGCATCCCTCCACACCAGTTCCCCCTCTTCCCCCTCGGCTCCCAGCCTAGCTTGGGTCCAGCTAACAGCTGGCTGCCAGGGAGGGGTGGCTGGGAGACCTCATGGGCCCTCTGGAATATGGATGGATCTTGGGTACAAGCAGCCCTCCTCCTGGCATCCTTGCCCACTGGGCAGTTTTAGCTCCATCCCTGGGCCTCTCCCAGGGTGCCACCACACCCTGTCCCCAAGACCTGGGTGGTTGCCTCTCCCCATCCCAGAGGAGGCTCTAGATTCCAAATTTCTCCACACATTTCCTCTACATTAGAGGAGCAGACCCTGATGTGAGGGGTCTGGGCAGGACACAAAGAAGCCAGCAGTGACTCTCAACCTCCCTGACATAAGGGATGCCCTCCATGCCAGGGCCCTCAGATCAGGGATCATCACTGGCCACATGCCCAGCCTGGCCAAGGGCCTCTCTTATAGCCTGGAGAGTCAGCAGGTGGGTCCTCGGAACAGCTGGGGCCTTGGCACTGCAGGTCCTGAGAGTAGGTCTTAACAATCACGGAGTGGGCAGCTCTGTGGGCACTGTGGCAGGTGTCTTCATCAGAGGTCCAGGCCTGTTCCCAGGCCACTCATGCATGGATGGCATTGGCTACGTCAGTGAACACCAGCCGGCTGGGCCTCTGCAGTGGGCCTTGAGAGGGGAGAGTGGTCTGCAGAGAGACAGTCAGGGGCTTCAGGGACCTTGACAAAGGCCATGCACTCCCTGGCCCAGTCACCTCCTCCCTTGCTTCCTGGTGTCTGCTTGTGCTTGGCACAAGCTACACCTTCTGCCTGGAATGCCCTCCCTGCAAGCTCAGCCTAGAAATATGACCTGGCCCCAAGGTTCCTCCCCCCACAGCCATCCCTGGCTTACCCTGCCACCTCAGGTGGCTGCAGTACTTACCCTGTGGGCCCAGAGGCTAGATTAATTATGCATACACCACTCTCTCCAGCAGAGGGGGCTCACTTCTGCACCCCCAAGCCCCAGCACAGGGCTGGCACAAGGGAGGTACATAGGAAACTACTGTCAAATGGTCAGTAGTCCCATGGGCTGGATGGACCAAAGTTCTCAGCCCAGTTTCCCGAATATCCCAAGGGGGAAACACGTCCTGATCCAAGTTACACAGAACTTGGTGGCAAAACTGGGGGTCTCCAGACTCCCAGCCTGGACTCTTTCTGAATCCAGTCTCCCAAATCTGTCTCTGGAAGGGCCAGACCCCGCAACAACCTGTGGGGTCAGGGCAAGGAGGTATGTAAAGGGGCTTTATGGGTCTGGGAACACCAGGCCTCCTCATGCTCTGGCCCTTGAGGATTTTGGGGACTGGTGGCAGGTGGCCAGGCAGCCCAGTGGCTCTGGCAAGATGACCACACAGGTACTTGACCCTTTGGACATAGGAGGCCAGTCTGACTGGGGTCTCCACCTGCCAGGGATCTGTCAGTTACTAGGAGCCCACCAGTCTACTCTGAGATACCACTGCCCCAGAGTCTGACCCCAACCTCAACCCATTCAGGACCAGGGACCCTCAGGCAGCAGAGGAACCCAGGGTCTCAGCCCCCAACAATCTCTCCCATCAGTCCTCTCCTGCTTTCCTAGCCAGTACATGGGGGCACATAGGGCAAGATTTAGGATTTTCATTTGTAGATGAGAAGACTGAGGCTCAGAGAGGCCAATGGGGTTTCCAAGATCACCAGGCTATCTGGGCACAGCCAGGCTGGACCCCAGGGCTGCCCCAGCCTAGCCTTGTGCAGTGAGTCCGTGGCTGGCCATGGAGAAATTCTACCAATTTCTAAACAAACCTGACAAAACCCATATACCCGACAGCTGTCACCTGACCACATGGCAGCTGCTGCAAAGCTGTATGAGAAAGGAGGGAGGGTGGGGGTGGGAGAGTCCTGAGCAGGCTGCAGGCTGGGTGGGGAGCCTGCTCATGCCCACCTTGCCCTGTGTGGCCTGCGCGGAGGCAGCAGCCTGCACAGAGGCAGCGTCCCGCCCGTATTCCAGCAGCTCCTGCTCCAGTTCATCTTGTTCCTCCGTGGGGTCAAAGTTGTACATGGGCATGAGCTGGTGGCGTAGCTTCTCAAGCCTGGGGGTAGGGGCAGAGGCTGCTGGGGACAGGGAAGCCCCTTCCCCTCCCACCAGCCCTCCAGGCCCTGCCTGCTGACCAGCTGAGCCACAGCACACAAACATGTTTAGGGTCCTAAGATTTCCCTTGGGATTAAATAAAAGACATTTTCATACCCATAGTACCAGCTTGACCTCTCAGATGAGTGGCCTGCGAGGGATAGTTATGCACTCCTGGGACCAGAAGGGCCCATGAGCCACAGAGCTGTTGTCCGTAGGGTGCACGGGGACTGCCTAGACTAGGGTCTTGTGTGATCCACAGCCCCCAAGAGGCCTGGGTTGGGGGAGGGAAGTTGGTGGCAGTTAGCTCAGGGCAATGGGGCAAGTGTGGCTCAGCCCTCCCCAAGGGAAAGTGGTCATCCCCAACCCAGAGTGGGCAGAAGAGGCCCTGACCAGGGAGGGGGCCCTGATGGTGGGGGACTGTCCTTTCCCACCAGCATCCCTGGGACTGTCCATGGGCTGGAGTTTGGAGTGGCAGCTGGGGAGTTACCTCTTCTTCTTCCTGATGTACAAAACCTGCAAGAGAATGAGCAGCATCAAATGGCCAGGAAAGGAGGCTCTGTTTAACCCAGCAGTCCCCCAGAACAGGGGACTTTCTGAGGCTAATAAACAGGAGAACTGTGGCTCCCCAAGTCCTCAGGAACCTCACCCCAGAAACACATACATCCTTCATTTGTGCCTCCCTTTGATGTTTATTAGATACTGACAGTGCCTAGACTCAGACGTGGGGAGCAGGCCTGCCCTCGAGGAGCTCAGCATAGGAAAACCACACAGTCAGGCCTTGCCGGGGGGCTGGTGGGCCCCATCTCTGCCAATACTGCTTGTAGCCCCAGGAACTCAGCACCTACCTGGGGCTCCTCAGGACTGAAGGGAGAGGGGAAGTCTTCGGCACACCCCCTCCTCTCAACTCTCTCCAGGCCCAAAGTCATGTATTGGCAAAAAGAACAGGGACAGGCAGTGGCCAGACTCTGCAGGGCAGTGACTATGCAAGGCTCTGGGTTGGGTTCCTAGGGCTTCCATGGGAGGCTGATGGCCCTCAGTGGACAGGGGCTGGAGAGGAGGGCCTGAGGCCCTGGGCATCAGCCCAGACCTAACTCCAGAACCTTGAAGCTGGAGGAACCTAGGAAGGCCCCTGGATCCTAACCCCCATTGTACCGACTTGAAGATAAAGGCCTAGGCAGTCTGAGATACATCCAAAGCCCAGGAGCTCTGGGCTGGAGCAGGAAATCTGGCTACAAAGCACTGAGGGGAGGGAGGAAGAGGGTGAGACTCAGGTGACCACCTGGCAGGGACTCTAGGGACCTCTGCCACCATCTCGCTCTTCCTTAAACTGGAGGTTTCTGACTACCAGGAGCATGACCACTTTTGTCTGGGGGAAAGCCACATCCCTAGAGTCTGTCCCAAACCTTCTGTGGTTCCCACACCCTTTCAGGCCCACTCACAGCTTGAATTTGGTTTGGTTTCCAGCCTGACTCAGAGCTCCTTCTGTTGCTCACTTCTGAGGGACCCCAAAGCCCTGGAAAGAAACTGAGGTACCCCTTGCTCCCCAATCCCCTCCAAGGGGTCACATGTGGGCAGTGCCCCTTGCTCTTCTTTGTGTGGGATGATACAACAGGAGCTTCAGGTTTCTTGCCTGGCCCCTACCCACTCTGAACCAGTGGCTCCAGCCCAGCACCCTGTACTCCCTCGCCTCTCAGCCCTGCCCCAAACCCTCCTCCCTGCCCTTGGCCCGGTGGTACAGAAGGATCTTCAAGAGAGGCCAGAACCTTTATCCAATCTCTACGCCTTGCCTCTGCTGCCCCCCTCTGCCCCAACTATTTACACCTCCCCCACACACATACCTTCCTTTTCAAATCTTCCCTACCCCTCACCATTCAGCTGCAGCCCCATCTCCTCCAGGAAGCCCTCCATGCTCCTCCTGTGTGAGGCACACAGCTTGGTATTGATTTTTCCTCCTTGTACCCAGCATGACCTGGCTCATGGTTGGCATGAGGTGAGAGGAAGCAGCACTCAGAAAACATCTCTGGACCTGTCCCCTGGTACCCAGGAGCTGTTTCCTGCCCTCCACTGCCTTTGCCTCTTTAACTCCCTGCCTCTCTTCTTTTGACAAGGCCGTCCACCCTGGCCCTTCAAATCTTCCTCTAGAACAAAGAGTAAGGCAGTCCCTCAAGTTCCTGGGACAAAATCTTTCACCAAGAGTTACAAGGGCAAATTCTAGGCCCTGCTTTGCACCTGAGTTTAGGATGTCTTGGTCTGCTTAACTGCTGCAGGGGAAACACTGGCGTTCTGCCTCACCCCCTACCCAGGAGACTGCTGAGGCCCCAGCCTCACTCTGCGTGTTGCATCTTGGCCCTGTCTGCTGGCCAGCAGTTGTTCCCTGGCAGCAATCTGGAAACTGCAGGGCCCATATGGCGACCTCGGTTTAACAACAACTCCAGCCAGGCCATGGAGGGAACATCCATACCCCTATTTGTCAGAGCAACATGCTTTTGAGCCTAAGGCCAGCCATCAGAGCCTGTGAGGGGCAGTAGGCAGGATGCCACCATTGCCAGGCCCACTGGGGGACCTCAGATGCACCCCTACCCTTCCTGGTCTCAGCCTGCATGATCTCCAGTGATCCCTCAGTGACATTTTGAGTGTCCAAGTATCATCTTAGGGGGAAAGCCTGTATCTTCAGGGGCAGACACCAGATCTGGAAGCATCATATCCACCATCGGGATGGTGCAGCTCTCACCCCAGCTCACCTCCATCCTGATATCTGCCCAACTCTGCCCCTTCTCATGACACTGAAGCCAGGCCTGCACCTTGAGGTCTCAGCTCTAATGTTGCCTCCTCAGTTGTCCCTGACTGCCGAGCCTAGAAAGGCCCCCTGCCCAATTCCCCAACCCAGTCTTCATGGGCTTCTCTGGGCACCCTTGGTTTTACCTGTCTCCCACTCCCTGAGAGAACCACAGGGCAGGAGCTTCTCTCCCTAGTTCCTGTGGTCCCAAAGGCTTGATCCAGGGCAGGTGCCTAGTAAATAATTGCCAAGTAAATAAAGGAATGAACACTGCCAGCAGCCTGCCATGTCCGGAGCATCCCACCCAGACTCTGCAGCCCACGATCTATCCCAATCACCTTCTGGCCTCTACTCTTATTGCATCCCACACTCACTCACCTCACTGTCTGCCTGCTGCTCACAGAACCTCCTATCTGCTCTAAACTTCTGCCCATCAGAACCCCCCACCTGGAACACCCTCCTCCCCATCTCCTCTGTGACCTTCATGGCCCAGCTCAAAATGCCATGTATTCCTCAGCACCTTCTCTGGTTCTTCCAGTCAGAGGCAGCCTCTTTGGTCTCTGGGCCCCAATGCACAAATCCCTGGGGGAGGGGAAGATTGCACTATCATTAACAGACAATTGTCTTCTGATTAGAATCTCTAATTTCTAAACACTGACTACCTTCCTCCAACTGAGGGCCATCTGGGCCAGCCCCAGCCTGCCCCAGCTCTCACCATGGCCACAGCCAGGCCAATCACTGTGATGATCCCAAAGGACAGAAGCATTGTGCCCACGCCGGCCGAGCCACCAGCCACATTAGGGATTCTGGTGTCATTAAAGCTGGTGGCTTCTGGGCTGAGGGTGGTGGTCTCAGAGGCTGGCCCATCTGTGGCAGGCTCCAGGGCAGGCTCCAAGGTGGGTGGGCGGCTGCTGAACCAGCCCCTAGCAGACGGAATCCTGGAGTTCATGCTGCCTCTGAGACGGCCCCTGCTGAGAGACTGCTTGTGGTCAGTCAGCCTGCCCAGTCACTTCTGACATCAGGAGTGTTCCAGCCTGTGGCCCCCACCACCCATGCTGGCAGCCACCTCCTTGGATAAAGGGAACTCCCTGCCTCCGTGGGTGCTAGAAAGGAAAGAATAAAAACATGAGCCTGAGGATGGGACTTGGTTGCGAGATGAAGTCTCCCTAAGTTCTGAAGGCACTGGGGAAATAAAAGTTCGAGGGCAAGGGCAAGTTCAGGGAACATCAAGACATGTGCTTTACATATCCATGGTTCCCATGTGGATTTAGGAACACAAAAATGAAGCCCTGCTCCCTCTTTGTGGGTAGGATGATCATAGTGAACAGACTTGGAAGATATGAAAGGCAGTGGGGAGGTTAGAAAGAAAAAGTTTCTTCCCTGTGTAATACCCCACCTCCACCCCCTACTCCCCACGCTCCTCCCCTCTTCACTCCCTGCCCCCCATAGCCCTCACCTCCTGCCCGGGGGAAAAAAATACTGCAGCTTTTTCCTTTTCTGGAGGGAAACACTGGCCCAAGGGGCAGACAGGCCTATCTTTGAATTCCAGCTCAGCCACTTAACTGGATGACCCTAGGCAAGTGTCTCCAACTCTATGTCTCAGTTCTCCTGAGTCCAAGGTGGGGATATTAAGAATGCCTCCCTCACAGGGTCATAGCGTCACTGAAATGTCAGGATGAACCAGTCCCCAGAAAAGACGTAGCTCAGCATAGCCTCTGCCCACAGTAAGCACCCAATAAATGTCAGATCTTCCCTCTTGTCCAACCCAGTTAGGAAAGGGGGAGCCACCAAGCCCCTGGACCCAGCCCGCTGTGTGGTCCAGGCTGTGCTTGGAGTGGGGGTGGGGACAGGTGCGGAGAGACCAGAAGACAGGAAGGAGAGGGAGGTTAAAGTGAGTTCCTCTGGCAAGGCTTCTCTGCAGGCTCTTGGGGTCATTGGACCCCCTATAGGAGAGCTAGGGGCTGCCAGGGACAAGGAGAAAAGCAAGAGAAGCATATCTTCTGAGGCAGGGATGGAACGCCATCAGGGATGGAACTCTGACATGCTTCTCCTCCCCTTCCCTCCTCCCTCAGGAGCAGAATATGGGAGATATATCCAGCCCAGGATGTGGCTTAGGTCTTCCCAGGCCAGAGGGCCCGGGTAAGGCAGGATGGGAAGGGGCCCCAGCCAAGCTGCAGAATGGCAAGCCTAGGGAGAGGAGGGATACACAGCTCATGCTGCACACATACCTCCTTGTGCTAGCTCGTGGGTATATGTGGGGTCCCTCCCTGTGCAGGTGCATGGGTATGTGTGAGGTGTGCACACACCCATGACGGCCCCTTAGGAAGGGGCAAGCGTGACAGAGGGACATGGGATGGGAGAGGCTCATCCCTCTCTGCCCTCTCCCTCCAGCTAGTCTGGGAACACCAGGAGTCCCAGATTCTTTCTTGGCTCTGCCACTGACCCCAGGCGTGACCTTGGGGCAGCCCCTTAACTCTTGCTCTGGGGCTCAGTTTACTCCTCCATCCAGAGGAGAGAAAAGGCCCTGCTCATCACTGTCCGGGACTGTCTCAGGATTCAAACAGCAAGAGAAGGAAGCCAGGGTGAAAGGGGTCGGAACGACCTCTGAGAACCCGCATTCCGTTCTCCACCGGGTTTCTCAGTCCTCCCTGCCCCAATCCCCATCCCGGTTCCGCGACTGTGATTTCTCCATTCTTGCACAGAAGCGGCGACCTCAGCACTTACTTAATCCTCTCTGGGGCGCGGAGCTCAGCCGGAGAGGCTAGGGGTGGTGGTGACCGGCAGGAGGCCGGGGCGAGGGGTAACCCCCAGGCCCCAGGATGAGGGGTGGCGGGTCCAACCAGAGGACCGCCCTCTCTGTCTGCTCCAATCCGCGGGCTGGGCCTCGCTACGGCCCACCGCCCGCAGCTGCGAGCACCTGCTGTGCCACCTTGGGCCGGGGCAGGCAGGGCAGGGACCCACGGCGGGTCCGCGACGTTCCAGCGCCCCTCCTCGCTGCGCGCTCCTTGGCCCCGGCCTCCGATTGGTTGTCAGGCCCAGAACCCGCCCGGCATTGGCCCGCTCGCCTGTCGCTCGGATCTGGTCCCGTCCCCAGCAGGAGCCGGGAGCCAGGTCGCAGTTCTCGGCGACCACCCCTCACTCCCCGGGTCCTGTGCCGGAGTAGGGCAGTGGACCGTGGGTGGCCAGCCCCTTCCTGGGCAGAACTCGGGCCCCCGGCCGGCAGGGGCTCCACCTCCGCCAGGACACTCGCCCTCCCATAATGCAGGCGGACGCGCGAGGCTTGGGGAGAGCACTGGACTGGGAGTCCTCAGGCCTGCTTTGAACTCTGGCTCTACCTTCTACTGGCTTTGTGATCTAGAGCAAGATGCGTTCTCTCCCTGGGTTTCGGTTCCCTGCTCAGATGGGCTCGTGATAATGATACCCACCCCGGACTAGAAATGGGGCATCTTCAGAGAAGTTGGGAGCGGGATGGTATTATTATTGGAGTCGTATTATTGGGCACCCCAACTCAGGCAAGTCTACATATACGCCTCACAGCCTCGATCCAGGGCGAGATCGTCTGAGGGGAGGGGCCTTCAGATACCATCTAATCCTCAGGTTTTCAAAGGAGTTCATGGGGATTACTGGAGAACGTTGTTAGAAACACAGATCCCCGCAGGGCCTCAGGTCTGGAATGGAGTCCGGGAAACTGCATGTTTAATAGTAGTTTAGTTATCAGTGATCTAGTTAACAATAGATTCTGGGGGCAGGGGGCGTTGGCAGGCCACACTTTGAGGGATTCTGCCATGAATTTTATAGAAGGAGCAACTGAGGCCCATCGAGGGCCAGGCACCTGGACAAAGCCTCGCGACGAGTTGTCAACAAAGTCAGCATTCAAACCCTAGTTTCCTACGTCCGGTTTCGAGCTCCCTGCTCCAAATCCTAAAAGGCAAGCTAGAGTCAAGAGCGACGCTGAGGTCCAGTCGCCACCTGTCCCCGCCCGCACTCAGCGCAGCTCGGGACTCTCCCTCAGCCAGGTCTTGGATACTGGGTCCCGCCCCCAAATTGGTACCCACCCCCAACACTGGGACCCGCCCACGTGCAGCTCTACCAGCTCGCAGGTTCTGTTAGGTCACGCCCCTGGGCGTCTCGCCTCAACAGTGGAACCCAGGGCCGGCTGATGACAGGTCTCGGTTCGGGTTGGTTACACACCGCCTCGGCTGGGTACCCAGACGCCAGCTCGGAGCAGTCACTGCAGGCTGGAAGCCTTATCCCTGCCAAGACCTTCAGGAAGACTCGCTGGTCCGGGTCCCGAGGGAGCAACCATACACGCGTCCATGCACGTTCCGGTCCACTGTTCCTAAGGGCGTGGTGGGCGTGGCGTTCACAGCCTCCACTACTGCCCGCCGAGGCCTCCCAAGTGGAACCCAGTGGCCCTAGGAACCCTGGAGCTGGGCCACGGGGTCTGCCCGAGCCCTTTCTCAGCTGCGCCGACCCCGGAAGCAGGGCTTCGGAGGGAGCTCGCCGCGGACCCACGCCCGTCCCGGAGCTCCGGGCCGGTTCTCCACGTCCGCGGACGCGTGGAGGAACCCTCAGGCGACTATGCGCTACAGGTGGGGCTTGGAACGGGGACGCTTGGACTGCAACACCCTCGAGACGCCCTATCCCCCGATGGACAGGTGGGGAGACAGGCTTGGAGAGAGGCGACCTCGCCTGGGTCATTAACGAAGCCATTCGGGACTGAGAAGGAAGCTGGGCCCTTGACTTCAGGCTTCACCTCCTCCTGGGGCAGCGCTCAGGTGAACAGAACCGCCTCTGAAGTCCAGAGGACCTGGGTTTCGGTCTTGCCTGGCACATTACCTACCTGGATCACTTTGGACAAGTCGCCTCCCATCTGGGAGCCTCCTTTCCCTCTTTTATTGTCTCTGAAAATGTGGCCCCTAGCAGATCCTCAATAAATGCTAGTTTGGACCTTGGTCAGTGTGGAAAGAAAGGGGACCACTGATTCTAAACCTTCAGTCAAACTTGCTTGTTATAACTTAAATATAAAATGAACAGATTTTGTAAATTTTTTAGCTGGCAATTTATGCTAACATTTCAGATTATGGGTTAAATTGGGGAGGTGGTGTTTCAGCATACAAATCAGTGACAGGGCATGCAAAATGTCAAAAGCGAAACTCCCAAGCAAAGGTGATCTCCTCCCACTTGAATTACTACTTAAGAGCATATAACACTGAGTCCCTCCTGAGTGTTCACCTGGCTCCCAGGCCCTTGACATTCATTGACTAATGCACTGTTTGCTGTGGAATTGATGTTATTTTCCTCATTTTTATGGATAAGGAAACTGAAACTCAGAAATAGTGACTTTCCAAAGATCACACACATCTGTCCAACCCCTAAGCCTCGGTGTTGACCCACCACCAGCCCATTTATTAGCAGGGACTGCTTCAGCCAAAAATGTGAAGAAAACACCACTGGCCAAGAGAAGAAGAATCAGATAGGTGGGTGAGGGTCTAAAATGGAGTCAAGGAGGTGACAGAGCAAGAGTATGCCCTCTCTCGGGCAGCAGATACGAGGGGAATGGGTCACATAAGACTCAGCTGCTTTCCTGGTTCTCCTTCCCCCTTCCAGGGTGGCAGCCACATCTGAGGACGAGAGCCACTTTGAGGAGCCAGGATCTGTGACCTCTGCTGGTCCAGCTGGGACCAGTGACTATTCTAGCATCTGACATCACCAGGAAGACTTGGGGACCTGGGAGTGCTCAGAGGAGCCTTCCCCTGAGACATGAAACTTTGGGGCCGAATGCTGTGGGCCCTCCTTTCTGGCTCGGGGAAGAGGGGAGGTACTCGGGGCTGGGCCTCCAGCTCATGGCAACCCCGTCTGCCTCTGGCTGGGTTGAGTGCCACAGAGCTGGTCAGCCACTGGACGGCAGTCTTTGAGAAGAGGGGCATCCCTGAGGCCCGGGAATCCAGCGAGTACATCGTGGCTCATGTCCTTGGAGCCAAAACAGTTAAGTGCAGTGTTGTCAAGAGGGTAGGAAGGAGGGGGAGAGAGGACCTTGGGGAAGAGACATTCAGGCTTTTCTACCCCACTGAGGGTGCTGAGTTGAAAGCCATGGGACTTTTCTGAAGGAATGTCTTAGGCAGATACTTATTCATTCACCCAACAAACTATTGCAGTGTGTGCCAGGCATTAGGGATTCAAGGATGACTAGAAGTGGCCAGTGTTGGGCCCACAGGCATTATCCACATAAGAAACCTGGGTCTGGGGAACCAGCCACTCACATTCTCTGTGGGACAGTTTCAGAGCCTGAGGCCAGCACTTTGGACCCAGCCCCTGACCCCTTGGCAGCTACAGTGCATCGAGGAGCTGAGTAGCTGCCGATTGCAAAGGTGAGCATTCATGGGCCAGACCTGAAGGCTCTGTGTGGGGAGCAGGGGTCCAGCTTCCCCCAGCCCCACCAAGTTCATGGTCAGGGAGGAGGAAAGTGTCCAAGGACCAGGGAGGTGTTGAGACGACAGAGTGAAGAGAGGGGAGTCAGGATAGTAAATAGGAAGAAGGAAGGGAGGAGGGAAGACCTTGTCTAGGAGTCCGAGGCCACAGGAGACATGACTCTACCTGACACTTTTGTCCACAAGTGGTATCCCTCGATCCAGGGATGGTCCTGTTGGTCTAGGCTCTGGCACTGATGATCACCCTGCTGCCCCCTCTGTAGGATGCCTGTGCAGTACATCCTTGGTGAGTGGGACTTTCAGGGCCTCAGTCTGAAGATGGCGCCCCCAGTGTTCATCCCTCGGCCAGAAACAGAGGTAGGTGTGCCACCCGGCTAGGACACCTGTTTTGCCCCAGACTTCCTCCAGGGGGCGGTGGGGCCCCATGACTGCTGTTTTTAGAGGCAGTGCCCTTCCATAGTGGTGTCTCCTGACTGGCTAGGTATGTTGGGCTAAGAAGACAGGTCTCCTGCTGGCCTTCTTGACTGTTCTCACATCCCAAGCCCCCAGGGCTGGCAGTGCATCAGGGTGCCCCAACTAGTGCTGCCCACCAGGTGCTTAGCTTGTTCCTGTCATTTCCTTAGGAGCTGTCCTGTGGGCCCATGGCCTGCCTAACCCACGGGAAACAAATGCCCTTCTCCTCCTCAGGAGGCCTGAACAAAGTTGAGAGTCCTCCAGTTGGACATCTGGAAGCCTAGTACAGCTTTGCAACCTTGGGCAGGTCACTGCCCTCTCTGGTCCCAGATGATGAGAGGGTTGGGCCTTCACACCAGGGAATCTGTGACTTGGTGGTCCTTTTAAATCCACTGTCTGGTCAGTAATCAATTGTGTCCCTCAAATTACTAGGACTGGGGAGTGTGTAGCCCCAGAATATTGTCCCTTGGTGAGGCACCATGATCCTGGGAGAGATGCTTTCTATGGCCCTTCTTGGGCTTCTGCCTGACCTGGTAGGTGGCAGAGCTGGGAGCCAGAGAGAGCAGAGCAGGTGGATGGGACTGGGTGGGGGCTGGTGGGCAAGTCTGGTTCTGAGAAGGAGTGTTTCTAGAAAGGCACCTAGTCACACAGACATTCCTGGGAAGGATCAGGTTTCATCCATCTGCCCCAGACAGGGACACAGAGGCCTTCTTCACTTTCCAGCCAAGAAACCCTCAGACCCCACTCACCCCCACATCTTGCAGTTGGGAGGCCGCCAGGTCCTCACCTCACTGCCCAGTGTCAGTAGGAAGCCTGAGACCTTGCTGAAGTCACAAGGCTGCTGAGCGGGGAGCATGGGGACAGCACTTGGACATCCTGACTCCCAGGTCAAGGCCCCATGCTTTACATGGGGCTGCCCCATCTGGCATTGGATGAGCTGGAATAGGTTGCAGAGACTCAGAGAAGGATGTGGCCTGCCACTTACAGACTTTTGAGCGGCCATCCTCTGGGCTCCCCCAAGCACGCGACCTCTAGCCAGGAGGTCATTCACTATCCCTTAAGGCTGCCAAGGGGCAGGGCATGGGAGGGAAGCTACCATGATGACCTTTAAGTCCTCTCAGAGCTGACCTGGCACCAGCCATATGTTCCAGTGTTGAGTGTGGACTTCCAGCTCCCATGTGGGCCCCCCCGCACCTTTCCTGGGTAGGTCTGGACCAAGAAAGTAGCTCTGCTGCAAGGGGCAGGGAGTGGGGAGGAGGGAGGCTGCGGTTGGGAAGCCGGGTCCTTACATCACTGTACAGACATTTCTCAGAACTTGCCAGGTTCGCCCCAATGTGAAGCCGCATTGGGGGTGTCTTACCAAGAACTTGAGAGGACGTGGCCTGTGGCAGGAGTGGGGAGAATGGGTGCAGGGGAGGGATCACAGTGCCTGCATTCTCTCTATCCATTGAAGGGCGGTTTCTGATGATAGGTGCAGAAGTCTGAAATGCAAAGTTGTAGGTGGCATGTGGCCTGACGAGTTGGGTTTTCCCTGGGGGTGGGAAGGTGGCTCAGTCCCCTGCCTGGCAGTGTATACAGTGGGAAACCCAAGGCTGGGAGTGTGAGCCATTCCCACGCAGGCTGGTGAGGTGAGGCACTGTGGGGTGTGGGAGACTCAGTGCCTTGTATGTGATTGGATTGAGGGAGGCAATGCCATCTTCCTGGGCCTGTCCTACCAGGGATATAATCATCATGGAGGGTGCTCATGGCACCCAGGTCCTGCTGAGGCCTTAGGCCAACCTCTTGAGGGGGTTGTGGAGTCTTGTTGAGGCATTGGCTCCAGGCAGAGCTGACAACTGCCTGCTCCCTGCCTCCTTCCCACATACCCATCTGCCCCCACCCCACTATGTTCTTGGATTCTTCCCTTGTTCACCTGGAAAAGGTGCCCTGGATCTGTGACAAGCTTGGCTTTCAGCCTCCCTTAAGGAGCCTCTAGCTTTAGGCTGAGGAAGGTCCTTCACTGGGTAAGGAAGAGAGAGTTTCTAGACTTCTTGGGGATGGTCTTCCTCCCTATCCTCCAGGTGGTCTCACAACCAAGATGATCCTCCCATGGTCTGAAGCATAGGGGAGAGGCTTCTCCCTTCATACCCTGCCCAGTCTCTTACCTTCACACCCTGCCCAGGATGGCCATTCACTTATGTGGCGTGTCTCTGAGGTTGGGGGTGTCTCTGTGAGGTGGCTGGCCAACATGGCTGGCTGAAGGGTCATTCTCCAGCCAGAGTAGGTCTGTCTGTGGCCCGGAAACCAAGAGAAGCTCACACTGCTGACAAGTCTGAGCTAATCCTGCCGGCTGCTTAGTACATGGCCTCACCACTGAAACCACAGGCTCTTGGCCACAGCCTTAGATTGCTTACTCTGTGCCAGTCCCAGTGCTGTGGGCCCAGCTTGCTGCCAGCACCCCAACAGTCTCCAGTAGTGCCTGGGAGCGAGTGAGGGGAAGCCCTCTCTAGTTGAAGCCAGGCTCCCTCACCCATAGGCAATAGTTTGTCTGGTGAGGAAGGGGCTTGGGACAGGAACGGTTGGACCCAATGGCTAAGTTCTACCTGTCTTGGATTTGGTACCCTGGGATTTGGGGAGCCCATAAGGATGAAATGCTTTTTGGGACTCAGCACTGAGGAGCTTATGTGAAAAGTGGATCTGAGTGATCTGGAGCCTTCTGCTCCATTGGGGCCTGACTATTGATATTTGGGGCTTGGGGGAACCTGGAGGTCTGAGACTCAGAGAGTAGCTTCCCACAGCCATGGAGAGCTTGCTCAGCACTTGAGAAGTAGCCAAGAGGCCCCTCTGTGGGCCAAGCCCTGGCTGTGGGAGACACTGCGGTAGGTTAGATCCCTTGTCTTGCCATCATAGAGTCTTCAGCCTGGTAGGAGAGGCAAACCCCATCCTAGACCTTAGGCTCCCAGTGAGGAAAGCCATGGTAGAGAGAGCCTGGTGGGAGGTTGAGGAAGCCTTCTGGAGGAAGTGGACCTCTTTTCAGATGAGGGAAGCACCCACCTGCTGACCCCTCCACCAGTTCCCTGAGCCAGCCCTTCCTGGCACCCCAGGTGTCTTGAGCCTCTTGGGGAGCCTCTCCTGCCCTCATCCAAAGGGATGCCTTTGAGAAGGGACTACACTGCTCTTTCCCTGCTCCATATCTGGCTACTTGGGCCCCTACTCACTACTGGTTAGAAACATTTTGGCCAGGGCCGGCCTGGTGGCACAGCCGTTAAGTGTGCACGTTCTGCTTTGGTGGCCCAGGGTTCACTAGTTCAGATCCCAGGTACGGACATGGCACTGCTTGGCAAGCCATGCTGTGGTGGGCATCCCACATATAAAGTAGAGGAAGATGGGCACGGATGTTAGCTCAGGGCCAGTCTTCCTCAGCAAAAAGAAGAGGATTGGCAGCAGATGTTAGCTCAGGGCTAATCTTCCTCAAAAAAAGAAAAAAAAACATTTTGGCCTTTGGGCAGCAGCAACCCTCCGCCTTCACCTTTACCCTATATTGACTCCCATGCAGTCTGTGGAGGTGGCAGATGAGCAGGTGAGACTTGAAACCATGTTGGTTACAAAGTGACTGTCTGAAATTGTTCCCCTGCTGCCAAGGCAGGTGTGGTGCAGTCAGGCACCTCCCATCACGCCATGCACCTTACCCCATGCCCTGTGTGTGCCATAGCCCCCTTTAGACCCGGGGCTCAGGCAGGACTGTTTTCTCCCTTTCCCCCAGTCATGGGGATTCCCTGTCCATTTGGCCTAGGATCCTCTCTGGGGGCCTCCTACGCTCTCTCTGTGAAGAAGCTGGGGACACACTGGCCCCTGATTCTGGGCCACCATGAGCTGCAGGCCAGGCTTCAGGTGGCACCTTGACCCCTAGGCCTCAGTTTCCTCAGGGGCTGGTTGTGAGGATCCAACAGATTCGTACAGGGGAAGCTCTGGAAGCAGGGCCAGGCACAGAGGGAGTGGCCAGGAACCATCAGGTATGGTTCTTAGCATTGTTGTGAGCATAAAACAGGAGGATATCTGTAAAGGGCTTAGCTGGGGTTTATTGAACACTCACCATGTACCCGGCATGGGATCAGTGCTTCACAAATGCAGTTCTGATTAATCCCCCTCACCTGCCAGTGAGGTGGGTTATCCTCAACTGTGTTCATGTTTACACATGGGGAAACGGAGGCATGGAGAGGCAGAGTGACCTGCCCGTGGCCTCAGCTGACATGTAGTTCAGACTGGCTTTGGTTACCCCCACTCCTACATTGACACAAAGGCTATCTATGCTTTAGCCTCTGTGCCAAGACTTCCAGGGGCCAGGTCAGCACTAACTCTGATCCAGACCCCTTTGCCACCCAGGAGCTGGTTGAATGGGTACTAGAGGAGGTGACCCAGAGGTCCCACGTGGTGGGAGCCCAAGGTGGGCCCCTCATCCTGGAAGTGGGCTGCGGATCAGGAGCCATCTCTCTCAGCCTGCTGAGCCAGCTCCCTCAGGTGAGCCCCCTCTGTATCCCTCCACCCCACCCTGGGTAGACTGACTGGCACTTACTGTCCTTCCTGCTGATCCCTTCCCCACCCGTCTCTGCTAGAAGCACTTGAGGGGAAGTGACTAGAAATAGGGGGACCAGGCTGTCCCTAGGCACCATGATCATAGCCTCTAACTCCCATCCACTTCTGTCTGGCCAGGCCCTGGCCACAGAGTGGGAAAAGCTGTTGGGTATTTCCCTCCTTTTCCAGTAGGGGTTGGAGGAGCACTCTGGTCCCTAGGCCTGGCTTCTCCCATCACCTTGCATCCCACGTACCCTTGGTTTGTTCTTGGGGCAGAGCCGAGTCATTGCTGTGGATAAGGGAGAAGCTGCCATCTGCCTGACCCATGAGAACGCTCAGAGGTAGGTGGGCTGGGGGGACCAGAGGGTCAGGGTAGGGGGAGTCGGACTTTTGGGCCTGATCAACCCTATTCAGGTATCAAACCCACCAATTGCCACTCTATGGGTGTAGCCTGACATGGGTTCCACAGGGTTACAAATGGACGGTGAGTACCAGGTATCTTGCTGGTCCAAGAAGGGTTTATTCTCCCAGTCCTTGTAGCCAGGGGTAGGAGTCTGCCCTCCATGCTCACCCTCACCTTCCCATCTCTCCAGGCTTCAGCTGCAAGACAGGATTCGGATCATGCCCCTCGATGTGACCTTAGGTACCTTCCCCACCCAACTTCCCTGTGGTGGGGATCCTGGGTATAGGTGCTGCTGGGTGGATGAGGCACTCTGCAGAGATGGCGGGAGGGCTTCCCCAACATGCATTCACACACACATGCACACGCAAGGGGTATCTCAGGCCAATCCTTGCTGAGGACAGGCAAGTCCCTTTTGCCTCCTGGGCTGACCTGACCCATAAGGGGACCAGCCACAGGGTCTTTCTTATCTTCTAAATGCCCCATAACTAATGAGTTTAACTAGGGCTTGATGGTGTTAAGAGATAAGCTGAAGCTCAAGAGAAAGCCTTTAGGACCAAAGTACTTGATTGCCATCCCTGCCCTCACCTGACCCAGGCATGACAGCTTGGCCATGGCCTTTAAAGAGTGTCCTTGGGGTTCTGGCTCCATCATGTACCTGCAGGATCCTTGAGCCTCATGTGTCCCTTCCATGGAGTGTGATAATACCTGGTATAGCACTTGGCAAAGGGTGGGACCAGTAAACAGAGCCACCAGAAATCGACTGAGTGAGGCTGGGCCTGCCCTGCATACATTCAATCCATGCTGGCTGTGAGGCAGAGTGTGGCATGCCCAGTGGGGCTGCAGAGGACAGAGGCTCTTGATTTGCCCAGGCAATCAAGAGGGCTTCCTAAAGGTGACACTTGAGCTGAGTCTTGCTGATTGAGGAGGTTTTTGACAGGAAGAAGAGAGGGCAAAGACATTCGAGGTGAAGGGCTGGGGTGTCAAAGCATACACATTCCCAGCCAGGCTGCTGGCTGGGGACCTTGAGCACTAGTCTGTAAGTCTGGCTCCTCAGGTCCAGAGACAGACCCACAGTGTAACATGGGGAGAGGGACTACCCAAGGGACATGGTGGCAGGTGGAGCTACCACCCTTTACCTCTCATTCTCTGCTGTGTTCCCTTTGCCCACAGAGGGGAGCTGGGCACACTTTGTGCCCTGGGGCCCCATGGACCTCATTGTCAGCAACCCTCCCTACGTCTTCCACCAGGACATGGAGCAGCTGGCCCCTGAGATCCGCAGGTGCAGAGTGGCATGGGACAGGGAGACCAGGCCTGAGAAGGCCTAATGGAATGGGTCGGCCCTGGAGGACACACCATCAAGAGGGACAGGGAGGGTGGGGGTGCTGAAAGGGCCAGTGGTATTGAGAGAGGCTCACTCTGGAGCTCACAGACCTCCTTGGGTTCAGCTTCTGCCTTCCTATACAAGACCACTGGACCTCTCTGAGCCTCATTTCCTACCTCTGAAAGGGGAGTGATAGAGATTTGCAGGGCCATAGGGAAGACTCAGTGATGACTGAAATATCAGATGCAGTGCAGCATACATAGAAGGTGCTCAAATGGGTGCATCATTTTACAGAAGACTGAGGCCCAGAGAGGGAAGGTGCCTTGTCGACGGTTGTGTGGGGGCTTAGCAGGAAAGCTGGGCCTAAGTGCTCCAGGCTTTGCACTGAGCCATCCTGTTCCCAAACACGGGCTAAGAACCAGGGGTAGCCCAGGAGCCCCTGGACGAGGCAGCGGTAATGTGGGTCAAGGTACTGGCTCCCCCTTTCTGGACTCTCACGCATGTCAGGGCCAGTTCCAGCATACACACATTGTTTTTCCCAGACCATGAACAGGAACAGCCTAGTTGTGGGGAGACCCTCATGTCCTGGGGGCTGTCAGTCAGTGAGAGTCACTGAGCATGCCCAGCACTTCCTGGTAAGGTGCTGCCTATAGGAGGTTGGGGAATAAGAACTGCCATCATTAGAGGGCCCCCTCCTCTGAGTCCTCAGACTTTCCTCTCAGGCCAGAGTGTAAGTTCCATGGGACTCTCTTTGGGGAGGGCCCTGCTTAGCTTTCCCAGCCTTTCAGACGTACCCTATCCAGGCTCTCACCTCCCACTTGTTTTCCCTTTCAGCTATGAAGACCCAGCAGCCCTGGATGGTGGAGAGGAGGGCATGGATGTCATTACCCACATCCTGGCACTGGCATCTTGGCTCCTGAAGGACTCTGGGTATGGATGGAGCGGGTCTCTTTGGTCTGTCCCCAGCAGCCTCTTCCCTTCCCACTGTGTACTGGGCCTACCCTGGCAGTCATTCTGTCCCTACCCCTCCCAGCCTGGGCAGCCCAGAAATGCAGGTCCCAGCACTGCCTCGTGGAGCTGACCCATTTCTCCCTAATGTAGAAGCATCTTCTTAGAAGTGGACCCAAGACACCCAGAGCTCATCGGCAGCTGGCTTCAAAGCCGGCCTGACCTATCTCTTGATCTTGTGGCTGTGCGCAGGGACTTCTGTGGGAGGTAAGGCCCTGTCCACCCCCAAGCCCCGAAAGGTATGTTGGTCCTTCCACTCAGATCATCCACAGCTCCGGCTGTGGAGAGAGTGTACTATTTCCACTTTCTGCTCATTCCCCACTGCCCAGGCAGTAACTAGCCCCTTGTCCTTGTCTCCTTAGGCCCCGGTTCCTGCATATCCAGAGGTCTGGGCCACAGCATGGCTGCCCCACAGATGCCTGGCCAGGGCCCCAGCCTCCCAGAGTGCCTGGCTGACACTTCCTCCTGGAATGCTACTTGGAAGGAAGTGGATGGCACCTTCCAGAACCCCAGATGCTTGTGGCATTTCCCATGGCTCTGCGATTCCACATGCTCTATGTTTCTAGGAGACTTAGGAGTAGTCTGCCTTCCTGGGGTGGCGAAGAGCAAGGGCATCCATAGTTCTGCTCAGAAGCTGAGCACACCCAGATTCCCAGTCTGGCCCCATCACATCACATGATGGCCAAGGGCAGGTTGCCAGCTATTTCTGTGGGTGGAAATGCTCTGGGCATGTTGGGAGATATGGTCAATAAAGTGTGGAGAGACCGACAAGTAGTGACCTAGTGTTTTGTTACCATGATTTGTGGGTCCCCTGACCCCTTTCCCCCAGGCAGTGCTGGGGGTAAGGGCTTCCTTCTGGTGGTCAGTCTCCCACCTGGTGGAGATGTGCGAGAGCAGTGTGGAGGAAAGCATGTGGGTGCTCCTTTTGGCCTTGGATGCTGGGGACTGGCACTAAACATCTCACTTTAAGGGTTGACTTAGCCCCCCACTGCCCTGAGGGTGCTCCCGCCACTTTGCTGACTGGGTCTAGGCTGTGGGCACAGGAACCTCATTGAGCCTCATCAGGGATGGCTGCCCACTTCCTGGAGGGTTGGGGCTGAAGGTCCTTGCTGCACAGTTCTGGGGTCATATGTCCACATTCATGTAACTGAGTCTTGAGCCAGTGAGAGGTGAGCAGGACTTGTGTTTACTTTTTACTCCTATACCTTTTAGCTAAAACATCCCTTCCAAGTCAACTTGGAGTTTCAGATAACCCATCTGTCCCTGGTTGTAGCTGGGGAGAATGAAGAGCTGAGACAGTGGGCACCGGGTTGTGACCTCCATTCCAACTCTACTCTTTGCAGACTTGCGGCCACCAGGAGCCCTCAAGGCTCAGCCTGTCTGTCCACAGTGACGGCAAACCTCCAGGTGGGCAAATGCTAATGTGAGCCTGCATCAGGGTGAGTCCTGGGGAACACAGCAGACCAGGCTGGCTCCTTCCTCCAGACTCCTCCACTCCCAACCCTGGTACTTTCAAGGGCCTGACTTGGTGGTGCGGTGGCCAGAGGCAGTGTGGTCTGGTGGGCAGCATCCTCTTCTAGAGCCAGGATGCTGGGTTCCAGGGCTGTGTCTTGCAGTGGGACCTTCGGCATCTCCTTTCCCTGCGAGAAGCTGGTTCTTCTGGCTCCAAGGCCAGCACAAGGTGGCAGCTTCATTTTAGTCTCAGAGTGCCACTCCCCAGGCAGGAACTCCCCAAGGGAAGATATGGCCTGCTTGAGGTAGCGTGGTGGGAGGTGGCCAAGTGAAAATGGGAAGTTAGGTCCTTGCCTTTGGGAAGTCTATATTGCTGGAATCATTCCTGGCCTGAGTGACTCCTCCACCGTGACTAGGGGTTGCATTTGCCTGAGCAGAGACTACGCTGCATCTGCTAGAGCCCTGATATCCTGCCCCCTGCCCAGACCCAGCTGCGTGGACCCTAGGCTGCCCCTGGCTTCCCTTGAAGAGGAGCCAGGGCCTCTCCCTCATGGCTGCTCCAGAAGGAACCTGAGAAGGTGAGGTGAGGCACAGCCAGAGTAAAGCTCCTGGGTTTCCAAGCCCCTCTGTGCTCTCAGACCTTGTCTTGCCTAGGGCATCACCCTGTTGACCTTCCTCTCCTCTGCCTGTGCCCTTTGGCTCTTGCTGTCTTCAGTGGCATCGAGGGCAGCTGCCCTGATCTCCTAGCAGTCTGTTGCCCCTTTGTCACACAGCCTGGGCCACACCTCAGCCAGTGCTGGCTTCCCTGATGGTCTCACCCGCTTGGCTGCAGGCCCATTGTGAGGAAAGGCCTTGGCAAGCATGAGGGTATGGCACCCCAAGAGAGCATAATGATGGAGAGTGACAGTGTAGGAGCAGCGGGGGTCACTGAATCAGGAGCCACGCTTGGGCACAACTTCCTTCCCAGAAAACTATGAGGCTTGACTCTCCTGAGACTGGTGGGGCAGGGCCTCCAGCCTTCAGCCACTGGCTTGATTGGGCCTCGGACATTGAGCTCCAGTGTTGGAGCAATGTCAGCCTGGGTGCAGATCCTGGCATCTGCCTTTCACCAGGATGTGACATTGGGCAGATGATTTCACCTCCCTCAGCCTTGGCTTCCAAGCCTGAGAAATGGGACTGAGTGCTTTATCTTAATAAGATGATTGTGAGGAGCCCATGGGCTGCACCTTTTATGGGGCACTGAGAGTGTTTCCATTGCCCCCCTTGGAGGGCAGACACAGGGAGGGCCCTGTCCCCTCATGTGTCTGTCTGGTGCTCAACAGCAACACAAGGCAGACATAGATACGGCAGTCTAGAAAGGAGGGAAGGCAGGAATTTATCTTAAGCTCTTGACTTCTCTCTGCTCTCTGGAGATGGAGCCACCAAGAGGCTAATAGCCTGGCAGCCCAGATCTTCCCTCAGCCCCTGCTCTCCCTCCTTACCAGGGCCTGAGTGCCCTGAGGTCCAGGCCACATCAGCCAGTGGCTCCAGCCCAGGGAAAGCCAGGCTCACCTGCCCTATCTCCTCCCTCCTTCCTGGGGCCAGAGCCAGAGCCAGCTGCCTCCTTTAACATGTGTCATGGAGCCCTGGGGGCAGAATGGCAGGAAGATCTGGGGCTGAGTCCAGGCTCTGTTGGCCCTGAGGTCTTGAGGGATGTGTCTGCTGCCCACCCAGCCACCTTCAACCAGAGCCCTGAGCATGGCAGAGGGGGCAGGGGGGTCCTGATCAATGTACTCTGGAAGAACAATTTCATCCCCTCTTTCCACAGTGGAGGAAACTGAGACTTTCCCTCACAGTTGGATGCTTTTCCCAGCTGCCTGTGTGTTTCTCCATGGGGCCCATCTAGCTGCTTTATTGAAATGTGCTGCCCAAACTCTTTCTGCTCTCCCGCATCCCTCTTGGACTCTGGGCCGTTAACTGCTCCCAATCCCTGCCCTAAACTTTTGGTTGGCTCCCCATGACCTGAGTGTTGTCTCTGTGTCCTGCAGAGTCCAGGCCTGAAGAGTAGGGGAGGGTGACTATGAGAAAGGCCCTGGGGACTCCTCCCAAGGCCCCATCCGTGCTCTGAGTAAGCTTCCATCAGACAAAGTGTTCCATTGCTGACTGGCTCTGAGAACTTCAACTTCTGTAGGCCAGCACGTTCTTCCCCATCCACCTTTGGATTCTTTTCTCCACTGCCCTAGACTCCAGCCTCCCTGTAGAATTCTCCATTCCCTAAACACATCTCCCTCCTTTTGCCCACCTAGTGCACCCCTCAGAAATGCCCTTGCCCACCACTACCAGTCCAAATCATCCTGTCCTTCAAGCTCCAAAGCAAATGCTGTTGTCTCTGGAACACTCACCTGACTGCTGTGTTCTCCTGGCCAGCCCCTAGCCCATGCTTCTGCCAGCACCAGTGATATTATGCCGCATGCATTTGGAAACCTTCCTGTCCTTCTCATCTCTCTGGGGCTCCATGTAGGTCTGGCATTCCTCAAGCTCAGTAATCGTCCACCAATAAGCCAACAGTGGGTGCATTTTCTAGAATGGAGCTGGAACTTCCCGTGTGGCTCACATCTGAACTGACAGCAGCTGTCACATTTTCCAGTCAGCAGGGAGAGGAAGCTGTGAGGGCCTGGCCTCCCACCCAAGCCAGGCAGCTGTTCTAGTTGAGCCATGGCCACTTCAGGCTCAAGTGCACCTGATCTCTGCATGGCGGCCATGCCAGGAGTACAGGCTGTCCTTGGCGGCAGCAGAGGCAGGCGCCCGTTTCTTGGAGCTCTGGGCCCCAGCTAGCCCCCAGCCAGAGTGTCGGCCAGAACAGTGGCCTGATCCCCCCTCATGACTCTCAGTCCTGGATAAGCCCTCTGGATGGGGCTTGGGACTGGTAAAGCATCCCTACCCATCCTGTGGTAGGGAGAATAATGGCCCCAAAGATGCCTACATCCTAATCCCCCAAATCTGGCAATATGTTAACCTTACATGGCAAAAGGAAGTTTGCAGATTTGATTAAGTCAAGGACCTTGAGATGGAAAGAATATCCAAGATTATTCAGGTAGGCTCAGTGTAATCACAAGTGCCCTTGTAAGAGGGAGACAGGAGCATCAGAGTGAGAGAAGGAGATGTGATGATGGAAGCAGAGGTCAAAATGATGTAGTTTGCTGGAGGAAGGGGCCATGAGCCAAGGAATGCAGACATCCACTAGACACTGGAAAAGGCAGGGAAATGGAATCTCCCCTAGAGCCCCAAGAAAGAATGCAGTCCTGCCAACACATTGTTTTTAGCCAAGTAAAATTGATTTTGGATTTCAGACTTCCAAAAACTATAAAATGATAAATGTATGTTGTTTTAAGCCACCAAATTTGTGGTAATTTGTTACAGCAGCAATAAGAAACTAATACAGATTTTGGTACCTGAAGTGAAGTGCTGCTGTGATAAATACCTAAAAATAGAAGTGGCTTTGGAATTTGGAAATGGGCAGAAGCTGGAAGAATTTTGAGGTGCGTGATAGATTGCCTTGAATACCTCTTTTCTGAGAGGCGAGGTGGCTGGGGGTGGGGTTTGGGGAACCCTCCTCAACCTGGGGACCTGAGCTGCCCAGGCCCCTTACCCACATGTCTAACATGTGGTAGAGCTGGCCCTTTCTTGGAGTGAGAAGACTAGAAGCCTGCCCACGGTGGGCCCCAGAGAGGCTGGCCTGGGCCTGGGGGTGAGCGGGAATGGGACTGAGACCAGGGGAGAGGGAACAAGGTTGGCCTCCATAGCCCATCTCTAATGGCATGGGGGCCACCTAGGCCTTAAAAGAGGATCTCAGAGACTGCTCCAAGACTGATCCTGACCCCCTTGAGTTTGTGAGGGTGAGCAGGGGCCCTACACTCTGTGAGTTGCAGGTGCCACTTCTGTGAAATGAGCATGGCAGCTCCTGACCCTGAGCTGGTAGACCTGACCCCTCCCTGTGAGCTGTGGAGAGTTGGGCTCCTTCCAGCCACCAAGCAGTGCTGAGTCCTGCTCCAAGCCTGGACTGGGCTGTGTCACCACTCTGTCTCTGAGATAGAATCAGATTATCCCTGGGATTCTCAGTCTCACAGTTCCCAAAGCTGAAGTGGCCAACTGGAGCCTGTGACCCTGTCCCTGTCCAGGCTGGGACCTGGATGCCCTTCAAGGTGAAGGATACTCAGGGGCTCTGAAGACACCATCCCACCTGGCCAAGGCCTAGAAGCCTTAGTCCCAACTCAGGAGCCACATGGAGAGCTACTGGTAGGCCAGACATGAGCTGATGTGCCTCATGCTGGGTCTGAAAA